ATTTTCCAACTCCCCTAGAGTTAAACAGTTGAGTTTTACCATTTTCGAATCCATTCAGCCGATCTCCGGGTCTGGCGGTAGCACTTTTAGCTGTAGCTTAGCATAGATCATTGAATCTGATTAGACCATTAGCATCTCGCTCAAAAATGACCAAAAAGTTTCTATATTTTTCCTATTTAAAACTTGACTCTTCTGTAGTTACATCATGTACTAATACAGACGGAAAATTAAATGTTGCAATTTTCTAGGCCGATATGGCTCCGAACGATACTCTCATCCACACCTAAAAAACAATTTGTGCTGGCTGTTAGTAAATCTGGTCTATAGTATAGTCGTTTTTAATATAAAAAAAACAAAATTGCTAAAGACCTTGACAGCCAGTGATCCCCCCCCCCCCCCCCCCCCCCCCCCCCCCACATAATAATAACAACAAACAATTGTATTGCTAATTTAACAATAACTCAAATAAAACAAATCAATAATAATAGATCATTGTATTGTTAACAATAATTTAATAACAATAATAAAATTAACACAGTTGAATAATAATAGACAATTGTATTGTTAATGATAATTGTATTGTTAATTTATTAACAACTCAAACAAATCAGTAATAATAATTGTATTGTTAAAACTAATTTAATAAGAATAATAAAATTAACAATTGTATAATAATAATAATAATAATAATAATAATAAATATGGACATTTTGTTAATGATAATGAAGACTTGTAATTATTACCAATAAAATTTATATAACCATTGTATAATAATTATGCTAATACAATAAATCATAATGAAAACAATAACGGTAATCCAACAATGATAAAAAACTGATCAGTAGTTGCTGTTGCTAACTCGGTCATTTAATCTGTAATTAGTTGACATTGGTTGCAGAATGTTTATTTAATTTTTTATTTTAATAAAACAGTGAATATTCACTGTTGGCATGAATGTAAACAGTAGTGCATTTGTGCCTTTGCATGCTCCAAGTCACACACATTGTTATACCTGCTTGTCTCCAGATAATTTGCATTCGGAGAGCAGTTCACATTGCATTTCTTGCAAAAACATGAACTGCCATACTTCCAAAAACATGAACAGTGAATCTTCTCTTCCTGACTCATTATTTAATTAATCACGGTGGTACTCGCGTTGATGATTCACATGCCACTGTTTGAACCCAGATGTACAGTGGGAAAAGAATCCAGCGGGGGAGGGAGTGGAATCCATCTCTGGTTTGGACAAAGCAGTCAAACCATGTGTGAAAGCATCCTTGCTGTACATGCACCAGCTCAATCTTTCTGCATTTCCCAGAGACATTTCAGTGGACCTGTCTACGTTTTGATGGATGCTTCGCCATTAGCAGCATTTCTGTCTTCGTCATTTTCTTCTTACTGGTTCTGGCTGGGCTTCTCCGAAACCCTCCAATGCTGTTGTCCTTCGGTCAGATCTTTCTATTCAGACATGTCTCTAAAAGCCCATTTAATCTGTCATCTGCTTTCCAAATGGGCCCCTTCTTTCTCTCGCTCATTCATTTCCTCTTTCTTCATAAGCACATTTGCTCTTCTGAATGAGTGGGAATGTTTGGCGCTTTGTGTTTCTTAAAAAGGGTATGTTGTCATTCAACCAAGCTCATTATTCCTGCTCAATGGTGCAGAGCTGTCTCTGACTTTCTGAGAGAGAACTGGAGAGTAGAAGAAGAGGGGATGAAAATGCAATCATTTTGTGGTTTATTTGTTGATGAAGCACTAAACTCCTGGGGTAAGAAAATGAGTGTCCACAGGATTCCCCCACCTAATGAACTTCCATTATGTCCATTAGACTGAGTTACATTGTCATTTTGAAGCAAATTAATTGGAGGGATAAATGGATTAAATTCCAGAAGTGGAGGCATACAACTTTAGGAATTAGTTGAGAGTATGGAACTTTCTTTTGCCATGTCACAATTGTGTCTTATTGCAACATTTTCATTTTGCTAGGCAGTTGGATATGGATCAGAAATGCAATGCATATGTCTAAGTGAGAGAGCACCTTCTTAAACTGTTAAGCTGGTGATTTGACCTGTTCGCTAAAGCATTGCAAAAATACAATCTTGTGCTTGGTGTGCTTGCCATCAAATTTATTTTTGTATTATTTGAGAACGGTTGGACTAATTGGTTGGATGTAATCAATCCACATGCTCCCAGAGGAGCATGGGTGTGGCAGTCGGTCAGGTGAAGTCTTTCGTCCTTGGGATGTTATTGATGCCATCCCGATTAATGAATGATCTTCGCCCCTGCGAGACAAGACAGATGGGAGATCCGGCTTACTATTTCAGATTAGCTTCCAACCCTCTGTTTGCTCAGAACTGATTGAACGAAATTGGCCAGATCACAGCCTCCTATCTCTGAATATCTCAACGTGGCTTCTTTATTAGCTCAGAGCTAACAAGAAGACGCTGAATGCGATGCCCCCTACGGGATGATCCGATGACCTCGGAGAGAGTTTGACACAAATGGAGTCGATTTCTTAACCTGGAGCAGTTTGGTGTGAAATAATCCGCTTTAGTTATCCTCTTCCCTTGTGCTTGCCTCCGTTGCCATCAAGCGAAATAGTTACCGGTCCCCGCCTCTTTCTCGCTGATAAACAGTTTCCATGTTTGGTTTGCCCTCCTCTGGGGAGATCTATGGTCTAGCCTGACATGATTCACACTGACTCGGGGTGACCTTGGAAAGTAGCCCACAGTCATGCTTGTACACAAACGCACACACCAAACCCCTCGCTAGATGCCCTAACACAATTTGTCCACCCTGAAAGGCCTGTAATCCATTTTTTCCCTTTACAGCCAGCTTTTCGCTTGATTTGCTATCCTGTACAAAGATATCAAATTCAAAGTTTGATGCGTTGCTCTTTCTTGGCGTAATTCTGTCATGTTTAATGCGACATCATAAAACAGAGTCCAGTGCAGTGTCCTCACGTGTGGCTTCAGTGGTCAATTTATCTCCATAGTTGAGCCCCTGACAGGCTTATAGTGTGTCTGTGTACGTAGGCCTTGTTTCTTGGCATTACATCGACTCCGCTGGTGATTTAACCATTTTGTTTTGTGTTTTTGCAGGTTAATGTCACAGTCGATTACATCAGAGCTGCCACCAGTGCCATGGAAACGGGTGGCGTCCCGGCTTTCCCAGAGCGCACCTGTGCTACAGTGACCATTGGAGGAATGTAAGTAAACTAGCCAAACTATTAGATGGTAGTGTAACTCATGTGATACATTTTAAGTCATATGATGATGATCGTGTGAGAACAGACCAAAATTTCCCACTCCAGTCATCGCTATACCACCTCCAGTCATTGAGTTGATCTTAAAAACTAAATCGATTAAATCCGTTAGCATGGACTCACTAACTTTAACGTTAGCTAGTTTTAGCCAGAGATACCTTGCTGAAGCACAAGATGACGTTAACGTTCTGCTTGAGCAGATGAAAAGTGTAACTTAATGAGGGTATGACAACCAGAAAATGAACGTTTTCGTCTTCATTATGATTGGGGTTGAATGCTTAGGGACATTTTGCTCTGTTTTGGTTGGATTTAGAAAATGAAAAAAATAAAAAATTACTTTGCCTATCCTCTCAGGATACCTGGAATTAATGTTACAAGTACTCTAGGCACATCGTTTTTTAAATTTTTGTTGCATAAACCATTAAACCGATGCGAGCTTCGGATCTTCCAATGTTTCTCTATGGCGCTGAAACCTAAAGATGTCAGTTCCGCTCCCCGTGCAACTGATACTCGACTGCCATTGGCTCATCTGCGTTCGAGGGGAGGGGCTTACCGATAGGTCAATTGGGACTGTTGTATGCTTTATTTATCCTTTATGTCTCCTCTATGAATTCAAATTATTCTTGTTCGCTCTCCTGATGTGGATGTGTGATCTAGCACACTGTCCCTTGTTTAGGGTAAGTGAGGCCAGGCACATGAATCTGGGGTGGTATTGCGCCTCAGGTTGTGATTACCCAACCATGCCCCAGTGGTTGGCATTAGAGCATTGTGGGTAACAGGTGGTCACATCGCCTGAGGGCTCAGCTGCTTTGCCTCATCTTGACTCTTCGCTGATTCGGAATCAGCCCTTTCCAGGTTTTCCCATAGTGCCATAAATATTTTAAGAGCCTGAACTGATTGTAGATCCGTAAAAATTCACGGCAGCACAGACAGTCTTTCAGCCTGATGCAATAGGTTACTTTTCAGTAAACATTTGATTTTTGAAAGCATGGTTATCAACGTTTGCAATATTTATTTATTTATTTTTTGGTTTGATTACTTAGCCTAAACAGTCCTTGATAGTTCCTTTTCATATTGTATTTTTTGGCTCTGAACCGTGGTATGTTTGTTTTCAAAGAGGAGCCCATGAGTACTAGCTGAAACTGTTTACCACTCTTTCTACGAAACCAGCAAAGGCACCAAAAAATAAAAAGTGTTTGCTTTAATTCATGTTTTTGCTCTTTTGATTTTATTACCAAAACTTGCTCATGTTTGCTGTGCTCTGCAATGGGGGATTGCGAACTGCTTGCTGAAGGCAGTATCTGTGTTGAAAAATGGCAATGAGAAATGCATTTGCCACTTTGCTTGCAGGGCACCAGTCTTGCTTGTTGTGAACAATTATGTTTCAGCTCTGCAAATTAGGCCTTATCTCACTCAATGCTCTCCGATTTAGAAAATGAAAAAAATAAAAAATTACTTTGCCTATCCTCTCAGGATACCTGGAATTAATGTTACAAGTACTCTAGGCACATCGTTTTTTAAATTTTTGTTGCATAAACCATTAAACCGATGCGAGCTTCGGATCTTCCAATGTTTCTCTATGGCGCTGAAACCTAAAGATGTCAGTTCCGCTCCCCGTGCAACTGATACTCGACTGCCATTGGCTCATCTGCGTTCGAGGGGAGGGGCTTACCGATAGGTCAATTGGGACTGTTGTATGCTTTATTTATCCTTTATGTCTCCTCTATGAATTCAAATTATTCTTGTTCGCTCTCCTGATGTGGATGTGTGATCTAGCACACTGTCCCTTGTTTAGGGTAAGTGAGGCCAGGCACATGAATCTGGGGTGGTATTGCGCCTCAGGTTGTGATTACCCAACCATGCCCCAGTGGTTGGCATTAGAGCATTGTGGGTAACAGGTGGTCACATCGCCTGAGGGCTCAGCTGCTTTGCCTCATCTTGACTCTTCGCTGATTCGGAATCAGCCCTTTCCAGGTTTTCCCATAGTGCCATAAATATTTTAAGAGCCTGAACTGATTGTAGATCCGTAAAAATTCACGGCAGCACAGACAGTCTTTCAGCCTGATGCAATAGGTTACTTTTCAGTAAACATTTGATTTTTGAAAGCATGGTTATCAACGTTTGCAATATTTATTTATTTATTTTTTGGTTTGATTACTTAGCCTAAACAGTCCTTGATAGTTCCTTTTCATATTGTATTTTTTGGCTCTGAACCGTGGTATGTTTGTTTTCAAAGAGGAGCCCATGAGTACTAGCTGAAACTGTTTACCACTCTTTCTACGAAACCAGCAAAGGCACCAAAAAATAAAAAGTGTTTGCTTTAATTCATGTTTTTGCTCTTTTGATTTTATTACCAAAACTTGCTCATGTTTGCTGTGCTCTGCAATGGGGGATTGCGAACTGCTTGCTGAAGGCAGTATCTGTGTTGAAAAATGGCAATGAGAAATGCATTTGCCACTTTGCTTGCAGGGCACCAGTCTTGCTTGTTGTGAACAATTATGTTTCAGCTCTGCAAATTAGGCCTTATCTCACTCAATGCTCTCCTTCAAACAGTGTGCAAATTGAAGCTTGTATAATATAGACTATCCTAAAATAGTTGCAGTATAAATTGATTAGGTGAATAGGGGAGTATTTAGGGGTGTCGATCGATTTGAAATGATCAGAGATTTCTGTAATCAGTCAGACCTAAAATGAATACTTGTGAGCATATATTTTCACATGGAATCTCCAGATTTAATGGGGAAACCGCAAAAACTAGTATTTTAAATATTGGTTAATGGCTTTTTTTTTGTTTTTTTTTGCTAACGAATTAATGAAGGCCAGTATCACAGATACCAATACTGAAACTGATGGCTATATTTAGTGATTTTTTTTTATGGATGCTGTGTTAATTGCTTTAATTATTTAATGCATTAAACAGCAAATAATAATTGCAGAAATAAACACATTATTTTTCTCAGCCCCATGCATGTGTGTGTGTTTAAAGAAAACACTTGTGTGTTTCATATACAGTACATAAAACCTGTTTGTGTGTAAAGTGTTGGAAGGCATATTGGAACAAACATCTGATTCTCTGTTTTAATCTCTTTGTAGAAACATTGCTGAGGCTCTGGTCAGTAAAGGTCTCGCCACAGTGATCAGATACCGTCAGGACGACGATCAAAGATCTTCCCATTACGACGAGCTCTTGGCTGCAGAGGCAAGGTAAGTCAAAACACTAAAATAAAACTGCCAGCTAGCGAATGTGGGCCATATTCCCACACATTGAGGAGGAGAAGCCGTCTGTGAAATGGAGCCATTTTGTTCTGTGCAGTAAGTCATGGCTTGTCTGGTTAGCTCTCATTTCATGGGGGCAATATCAGTCCCAGAGCTTATACCTCGACCACCAGCACGAAAGCATTGCTCTTTTATTCTTTGTCCACAAATATAATTATATAGATTTGCGTTGTAGAGGTTTCTAGGGTGGTGTATTGCACAGAAAGAGATTCGGATCTCGTGGTCGGCGATAGATGGTGTGGCTCTCGAGAGAAAGAGACTCGCTGCTGCTTATCTGCAGCTCTTTCTTTTCCATTTCTATTCTTCACTTTTGGTGTTGCTCTCGAAAAGGCACATGCATTCACACACATCTCCTCTATTTTCTTGTCTTTCGCTCTCTGGGTAATGCTTCCCCGTGGAGCCAGCGGAGATGGGAGGTTTGTGGGCCTCAACTTTATTTTTAGCAGAGATTGCTGGTCCTTACCCTACATCCTCTGAGAAATCAACCCCAAGCTCTCTCTCCCTTCCTCTATTTTTCACTTACTGTGATTGGACACCAGGCAGGCTACAGCCACAGATACATCTGCCTTAAAGAGGCCAAAGACACATCCCTCATTCCTCCTGTATCTACTGTAATCTGCAGGCATCGCCACTCAGCAACCACTATTACACTGATCGAGCACTCTGATGCACACAAAAGACACCGTATACATTCCCATGTGTAATGCACAAGAACTACTGGCCTATAAATGTGATTTGTTGGCTCTTTTGTGGCATAAGGGGTGGATGAATGGGTGGGTTTGTTTAAGGGTTGGTTTCTCAGGCTGGGGCAGAAATGGTTTTATGTTCTGGGAGCCCGTTCTAAAAATTTCGATTCTAACACAATGCTTGAATCATTGCAGAGCGATAAAGAATGGCAAAGGACTTCATAGCAAGAAAGAAGTGCCCATTCACAGGGTGGCAGACATTTCAGGGGTAAGTTTGTGTATTGGAGTGAACTTTCGGTTTTATTGGCTTCAATTGCTGTTTGATTCCAATTCGTATGGATGTATTTCAGTCATTACGTCCATTTTGCTTGCATATAAAATATGTCTCTGCTAAAGCTGTAAATTATACATGTTTTTTTTTTATACACGTCGCTTATTTTTTGAAAATGAAATGGTTTGGCAAATTTGTTTTAAATATTTTGGCTTATTTTATTTTTCATCTTAAATATAATCATCTCAATAATAATAATGATAATATTATTTTGGCTTATTTGATTATCTTCATCTTAAATATTTTGTCGTCTTTGATTTGTTTTCATCTTAAATATTTATACTTTAACCGTTTTCTTAAATATTTTGACTAATTTGATTGTCTTTAGCTGAAATATTTTGGCTACATTTGTTTTCGGCTGCTAATAAGAATGCAGCATTTTTTTCTTCCATTTACATTTTTTTTCTGTTTAAATAAATTCGACAGACTTCAAAATCAAGAATGAAACTCAAATATCAGTGAGAAAAAACAAAAAATTATTTGTATGGGCCTGGGCATGACCCATGACCGTATGTTCTGAATGTCTTTACCAATGTCTTCTATATCCCAGAATCCTTTCTAAAATCTTTGATGTTAAAGCTTTGTCCTATGATAGCTGATTTATTGCTGCAGTATGGCCCTGCCCATTAAATTAATGAATGCCCCTCTAAAAATAGCCTTTCCACCCTTAAAGTCATCATGGTCGTAGCTCTGAAGTTGTTTTTTAGGCGAATCCTGTTTGGGTACCTTACCAAATGAAGATTACATTTTACTTGGCTTGTAAATGTCATTTGCTGGGTGACAGGCTTGGTACTTGGTGTGTGAAGCAACTGACGTTTAACAGCCTCTGACTTCCTGTTCACACCTGACTTCAATTCTCTCCTTCCTCTCTCTCATCTCTGCTTTTATGAATGAGCTCCTTAGTTTTTAATGAAGTGTATGGCAGCTGTCTGCGAACTTCTTCAGCATGTTATTTATACCCAAGTTTGTGTAGGAGGCATTTAGAGTGAAAGAAAAGAGTTTCGCTCTCAAACGGTAACATTCTCATTTCTCATCCAGAAACAAGATTCCCTCGTTATATGACTGACAGTCAGAGTAATGTCGTTTGGATTGGGACTATGTCGTTGGTCTGAAAGGACCATTTATCTTTGGATGTGTTTGTTTTCTTTTCTCTTCTCTCTTCCTCTCTCGTTTGGTTTCTTTTTCTTAGTTTGGGTCATGGCTGTATTTTCATCTGCAGTGGGCGGCCCTAGTGTGCTGAGTCACAGGAAGCATATTTAAAGTGAAATCTGAAGTGTCCCTGTTACACACCAAACCTCACCTGTCAAACAAAGAGAGATGGCCAATCTCGCTTCTAAAAGTACACCCTTGGTCAGGACACTCTTGAAATAGAGCTGCCCTACACCCATAATGGCTCACAGTGTCATAAACTGTTATCTTCCGCTTGGCCTGTCGTTTTTCTGGTCCACATTTGAATTACAAATCAAAGTATCTAAACTAATGTAAGAAAACCAGCTGAGGTAGCCATTGAAGGCACATTTCAAAATTTTGGTGCAAAAAATAAGGGTGCTATTTTAGTGCAATTATTTTATCCATTTTTATGAAAAAAATAAATAAAATTTGCCTTTTTTTAATATTGCGTAACTATTTTTTGTATTGCAAATTTTGCATCATGCCATCGATACATATTCAAATTCTGTAAAAAATTGTCATGACTGCTGCAACATTTAATGTGGCTCTGTGGCATTTCTTTTGTACAAAACCAAACAACACCGAACTAGCCAAGTATAACTAGTATATAATAAGTGTAATAGCTATATGTAAATATATGTATTTAATTGTATACCTTTTATAACAAGTATAAATACTCATAAATATAACAAGTATAAACATTTAGATGTATAAAATAAATGTGTATATAACAAGTAAAAAAATGCATATAACAAACAAATAATGTGCATATAACAAGTAAAAATTACAATAAAAATACATAATAAACATAAAATTAAATATCTATAACAAATAACTGTGTTGATGTTTGTTTTCATATGTCGTTTAAACACCTCAGATTTTTTTACTGACTTTTTTTTTTTCTTATATTCTTTCTATAATTTTGCACAGGAGACACAGAAGGCGAAACAGTTCTTGCCATTCCTGCAGAGAGCGGGCCGCTCTGAGGCTGTGGTGGAGTACGTGTTCAGTGGCTCTAGACTCAAGCTCTACATGCCCAAAGAAACATGTCTCATCACCTTCCTGCTCGCTGGTAAGTGTTAGTCTGCCTCGGCCTGTCAACTACGCCACCATCTGTGACCACATAACGACCACAGTGTGGCAGCTGACCGCTGTTGCATCACCAGTCTAACACTTTCGATTTTGTTCAGTTCTCTAATATTTCAAGGAAAAGTTCACCTAAAACAAATTACATTTCTGTCATAATTTTCTCATTCCGTTAGCTGTTTTTTTCTTCTTCTGTGATAAAACATAAGTTTGGCTGAATGTTGAAGTTGCTTTCATGCATGCAATGAAAGTGGTTGGTGACCAGGGTTTGTAAATCTCCAAAAAGCACCATGGTGGTGCTTCACATGACTCACTTTATTACTTCTAACACCACTGAAAGACTGAAAATCTTGCCTTGAAATGTTGCTTGCCGACCAATATCACCATTCACTTTCACTGTGGGGGAAAAGTAGGGGGAAAAAAATGACTTAGACTTCTAAAATCGCTATAATTAACTCGTTTTGTGTTCCGTGGATGAAAACGTCATACAGGTATTGAAAGACATGATGGTGAATAAATGATGACAGAATTTTCATTTTTGTGAGGACTGTTACTTCAATAATTCATACACGCTTCATGCACTATATGAAAGTGTGTCTTCACATTTCCTTGCCTGAAGCTTGACAGTGAGATGCTTTTTGTGGAAGGGGTTTGCTCGAGATGCTCTGCTAGTGGAGTTTTGAGACTGAATAGCTTCTGTCCTTCCCCTCTGACCAGCAGAGGCTGGTGTTTTCTGGGAGGTCTGCAAAGCTGATCTTTGTGCAGGCGTTTTGTCTAAGCTTCTGACCTCCCTAAGGCAAGATGGGGATCTGAAGGGCTCAATCTGATGGAAGGTTAAGTGTCACATTTGCTGGCTGTGAGGTCTTGCTACTCAGCATCTGTTCTTCTTCTTGAGTGTCCTCGCCCTCTCTATGTGGAACACATATGTGGACATGCTTGTATGAAAGTATCTGGGCAGGTACAGATATCACTGCTGCACATCAGGGAAGGCGGTGGAGTGACCTTTGACCTCTAATCAGCGTTTTGCACATAGCCAATTGCCTTTCCCGCTAGCACATTTGTCGGTGTGTCGACATTTTTATAAAGACTTGTGATTTAGAGTTTTCAGTTTATCATGTTCATTTTAGCATTCACACTACCATTCAAAAGTTTGGATTTTTAATGTTGTTAAGTAGTCAAGGCTGCATTTACTTGATCAGAAATATGGTAAAACTGTAATATTGTGAAATTTTTACAAATTAAAATAGCTATTTTCTAATTAATTTTAAAATTGAAATGTAATTTATTCAGGTGATGGCTAATTTTCAGCAGCCATTGCTACTTTTTCAGTGTTACATGATCCTTTCGAAATCAATTGAGTGACATTTATTATCACTGTTGAAAACAATTGTGCACTTTAATATATTTGTGAGAATTTTTTTTTTCAGGGTTCTTTGATTAATAGAAAATTCCAAAAACAGCATTTATTTGAATTCACACTTTTTGCAACATTTTTTTGTAACATCGTTTACTGACACTTTTGATCACTTTAATTTTGAACAATTGCATTTTTATGAACTAACATTAACAAAGCTTATAAAAATATGCTTTAAAACAGTGTTACATGATCCTTTCGAAATCAATTGAGTGACATTTATTATCACTGTTGAAAACAATTGTGCACTTTAATATATTTGTGAGAAAATTTTTTTTTTCAGGGTTCTTTGATTAATAGAAAATTCCAAAAACAGCATTTATTTGAATTCACACTTTTTGCAACATTTTTTTGTAACATCGTTTACTGACACTTTTGATCACTTTAATTTTGAACAATTGCATTTTTATGAACTAACATTAACAAAGCTTATAAAAATATGCTTTAAAAAAAGTGAAGTTTGGATGGGATCTTAAGTGTAAACATGTTAAATAAAACCAAAAGCATTGTTAGTGTCTAAATAAAAACAAGGTAAAATGTACTGAATTTGACATTTTAGTTTCTATTATAATAATGTGTTCCATATAGCTGCCATTATATTTTTGATTATATTCGTTGTCCTTGGCATAACCCCTAAACTCTTAATCTACATCAGAAAACTAAATTTTAGCATCTTTAATTGGGTGCCAAAAAGAAATAACTTAACTTATTCCGACCAATCATATCTATTCTGGATCAGTGGAGGGTGGCATTTTGACTCTTTTTTTTTTTTTTACATTTTGTACAACATGGGAATTGTATATGGCATGCACAAACATTCAAGCTTCATTAGACTACATAAAGAGACAGTCTCTTTCTTGTGGTCGCTCAATTTCTTCCTGACGGACATCCGTGCCCTTCCAACCTCTCTCCATATCACTCAGAACAAGCTGCTGAATGATTTGTTTATTTCTGTCCTCTCACCATCCGGTCTAATTATTCACCCTGAAAACAGAGAAGAGAGACACCCACCTATTTCTGCATCCCTCCATCCTTCCATTTATTTGTCTCTCCTTTCCCCAACAGAGAACAAACACCCTCCACCCCCCACCGTGCTTAATTGTGCATATCGCCATTGGAGATATTTCAATTAATTTGGTCATTTGTTCCTGAGTGTGTCTTGTTTTCTCTTTCCTCCATTTGTTCCTTTTGTAATTTTTTTTTTTTCGGTTTCTTCCTATGAGAGATTTCGGACAGAGAACCGCTCTACTTTTTCTTATTTTCTGAAATGATTCTTTTTTTTTTTCCAGATGCGTTTTTTCCCGTTTGCCTCAACTTTGTTTTCTCGTTTGTGTGATTTGATCATGTAGGCTGGGATGTTTCGTGAAGCAGTTTGTTTGAGGGTTTATGAGTCAGATTCAGCTGATGGTGTTTGGTTTGTGTTGACATTTTTCACAGTCGCAGGTACTTTGGGATCCTGGCACAGCTCTTTCTGATGTTTCTAGTCTTGTTTGAGTCTTTATGGAAGCCATTTTTCTTTCAGGAAAAGACTGACAGCACCAGGGGCTGTGAAATGTGCTACAGCACATATGAAAGCTTCAGCAGTTCAAGAGGTTATTGACATACAGGCATTGCGCCATAAACTCACCAGTGTAGATTGTACCTGCAGGCCTTCCTCTGCACTCTGATTTTATGATTTTTATGGTTGCATGCTGAAGTCTCATATCTGTGTGGGTCCAAGGGGTCAAGATTTGGCTAGTCAACTGCTAGTAGACGCTATAACTGAGCTTTTCTTGAACTTGTTAAATTTTTGACCTTTAGAAATAAAAATCTCTTAAAGCTGTTTTCTTTTACTCACTAGTTTGTTTTATTTGTCTGCTAACAATATTCAGCTTAAAATGCATCAAAATTAAGTCAGTTTCTCACCAGTGTCCACAACATCTGAAATAATGCATTGTGATCATTAGCATTCTTTGGTGAAAATTGCATTTTATTTGGAATATCTAACTACTAGTCAAGTTTACATTAATTTTACTATATATATATGCCTCTCCATCCACAGGCACGCCAGCAATGGTTACCGCATTAAAAGGGCAGAAATGCTTCATTTTCTTATTTTCTTCTGCTCTCTTTCCTGTTTAAGTACATCTTTTCCTACAGGACGAGCGATATCATTGTGAGGCTCGCGGTGTTGTGGTGCTTCAACAGAAGTTTCATGTGCAAAACATAAGCATGGTGTGAATTTGTAACTATATTAAATATGATGCGATTTCAATTTTTTCTTTCTCTTTGGAGTGTTACAAGCTCTTGGTGCATAAAGAAGATCTGTAAATTTGCAAAGACTAAAGTCTCAAATCCAAGGAGATATTCTTTATAAAAGTTAGGAGTCAACCACGCCTACCTAAAATGGCTCATTCTAACACGCCCCCACATACAGTGGGGCAAAAAAGTATTTAGTCAGCCACCAATTGTGCAAGTTCTCCCACTTAAAAAGATGAGAGAGGCCAGTAATTTTCATCATAGGTATACCTCAACTATGAGAGACAAAATGAGAAAAAAAATCCAGAAAATCACATTGTAGGATTTTTAAAGAATTAATTGGTAAATTCCTCGGTAAAATAAGTAGGACGAAGCGGAGTCCAGCCCGGGGTCATCACATGTGGTTGCCGCAAGCCGGCCGGACGCTCCTTCGTTAAATCCGCCGGCCGCCGCTCACTCAAGCCCGCCTGCCTCTGCTCACTCTAGGCCGCCGTGTGTGACGCTGCGTTTCATTGTGAAAGCGAAACTACTTTGCAACGCGTAAAAAGACAGTATAAGTCATTATAATCCGTAATTATGTCCCCACTGGATGCAACAAATGCCTAGTTTATAATGGGTTTTAATGTTTTTGTCTCGTCGCTCCAGCCAGACAGGGCATCACAGTATGTTAAGGGGCGTAACATATTCGTGACACGCTTGAGGTATTCAGCCAATCACAACGCACTGGATAGCTGGCCAATCAGAGCACACCTTGCTTTTCAGACCGATGAGCTTTGTAAAAATCGACGCGTTTCATAAAGGAGGGGCATAGAGGAGAAACAATGTACAGTATGTGGAAAATGTGTTTTTTGAACCTTAAACCGCATAAACACATTTCATTACACCAAATACACAAAATGTTCTTTTTTAGCAACATCATATTACCCCTTTAATATTAGACATTTCTTTTTTAACCATTAATAGAGTAAAAGACAGCCAAACTTTTCTGATAAAATATATTTCCAATAAGAGTTCTTGTACTCTTTGCGAACATACTGTAACTTTCTCTCTCTCTCTCGCTTTTATTTTATTTTATTTTTTAAATAAAATTGACTAAATTATGACCAGTTTGGTCCAATAAACCTTTAACATTATAAGTGGACTTCTGGGGAGAAAAAAAAAAGTATATAAAGTGTATAATATGCCCCTTTTAACCAGTGTAAACAAATTAGTTTTCAAATGTTTCCTCTTAAAAAGAAAAATGTTTAGTTTGATCATCTCTTGAAATTGAGTGGAGTCAAATCCATAGCAAACCATCTCTGGCTAGAATAAAGAGGTCGCCCTCTTCAGTCTAG